GTTTGGCTTTGTTAATAATAATTGTTATTTCTAGAGTTGTTATATAGTGGTCAGATTTTTGTAACATGTTTGAAAGAATATCAGTATATTTAATATTAGCAAAAGATAGATTTGTCCTGATTTTATCAATTCTACTTTGAATATTTGCTTATTTAAATGTATAGTTTTGGGAGTTAGAAAAGAAGAAGTGGTAGATGTCTTTGTATTGTTAGCTTTGAAGGTATTTAATAAGTTATAATTTAGGTATAAAAGATTTTTTGGAAGGAGAGCATTAAGTCTTGAATTTGAGACACTATTAAAGTCTTTCATGATTATTATTTTGTAGTTGGAGTTTTGGAAAAAATTAATAATATGTTTTTGAATATCTTTGTAAAGTTGTTTTTTTTCTTGAGTTAGAATATATATTTAAAGAAGACATATTGCTAGATTTTTGAAATAGAGATCTATACCAATAATATAGCCTTTGTAGTTATATAAGCAAGCAATGTGTTTTGCTATTCTGTGATGAATTAGAATACCAACACCTGCTTGGTGTAGTAAGAAGTAAAAACTCCAGAAACTAGTATAGTTTAGAATTTGACTATTGAAGAATTTTCTTTCTTTGGTTAAAAGGTGTGTTTTATAGAGACCTAGGATTTCAAAAGAATTATTATTAAGAGCTTCTGAAATTACAAGTTTTTTGTTTAGATAGATAAGGCTATTGATATTTAGAGAAGCAATTTTAATAGAAATTAAAGCATGTTCTAAAATAAAAGATAAGTTTGATATAGAATAATTTGAAAGTTGTTTTAAGGATGATTCACAAATTTGCAGAGAAGGTATATTTGTAGATATTGAATAATTAGATTCAAAAGAAGTGTCTTAAAAGTTAGAGAAATTTTTAAAAGATATAGAGATCCAGTAGATTAGAGAGAAAGAGATTAGTAGGTTTGCCTAGTATAGTATTTGTAGTTAAAAATATATTGTCATTATCTGAATCCTCAGAAGTAGAATTTTTGGAAGGTTTTGATTTGGGTAGTGTGATATTTATAAACATAGATTGAATAGTAGCGTTTTTTGATGTATATTAAAGCAAGTATTTATTAAATAATATATATATTTTATTATCAACAGGATTTGAAATTAAAATTTTCTACTTTTTTATTTATATGTTAAACTACTAGCTTGTAGTGGGTTTGGGTTTTATAGTTTGATTATTAAGTTGCCAAACTCTTATAGAAGTTATGATCTATAGTTCTAGTCAGGCTAAAGATGAAAAAAAACTTTATAACTTATCGATAAAAAGCTAAAATTGAATATGGAGTTTTATCAAAGTCTAAGTATAGTATAAATTTGATAGAAAATTTCTAGGAGATCTAACTATAAAGAGTTGGTAACATATTTGGCAAGTGGTATTATAGAAGGTTATACAAATAGGTTACATATATAAATCTTCAAGATATTTAGATAGCACCAACAACCCAGACTATCTGAAATTTTGATTAAGAGGATAATACTAATACATCAAACTGGGAGTGACAAGCAAAGTGGCAGATATAGTGAAATCTGTAAAAAAGGAATGGTTTAATAATTTTCTAGAAATACTTTTGGTATCTATATAAAATTAGAAGTTGTATTAGATATCATACTAGAAACTAGAAACTGGTATAAGTCTAGAGTCTAAAATATTTAATTAATTGCCTTAACCCCTAAAAATCTAGTTTGTGTATGTCACAGATTAGATCTTTCAGCGACGTTACAATCAGAAAATGCCACAACTACATTTTTGATAATTTTAATATAAACATAGTTTTGGTTATCACTAAATATAGAAGTATAGGTTTTATGCTTCGGACAATTATATATTACTAACTTCAGTAATAGGTGCTATGCAATGTATTGTTAGTTAAATTTCTAGACCTCCTTGCAGTACCAAGCTAGAAATGAAAACAATTATCAGTAGTATACTCACAAGTAAAAATAAATTTATTAAGAAGCCTTTGATACTTATGCTACAAATAATACTAATTTGGGTAGCACTATATAAAGCAAGTGGTATATTATAGAATAATAACCAAAAAAATTAATAAATCTAACTATGTCTAATAAGAATGTTGTAGCTTGAAATAAAAATTATATTACAGCATCACTTCAAAGGTTGGCTTGAGATATAAACATAATAGTGGCAGCACAACATGTACTAGATGGGTACTAAATATATGTTAAATTATATATACCAATTTGGAAGCAACAAGAGCAAAAAACCACTAGAATGAACCAAACTAGGAGATAAAAGAAGATTGCTAAAGAAAGCAGATAGGGGCAAAATACTAATAACAATATAAAAATTATATATAGAAAAAAGGTAGGTTGTATACCAGCTAGAAGTTAATTAATAGGGTAATAGCTATTAATTAAATTCTAAAATAGCAAAAGTATAACTAAATTGCTTAAAATAGGTATTATTAGATAATCTAGTGTAGTACAACTTGAATACTGTAATATATAATATGTAATAAGCTTTTAAGTTCTTAATTAATAAAAATTACAGTATATAAACAATTTAAAAAAAAAAAGTACTAGCTAGTAAGTATTTATAAAATGATATACACATTTTCATCAGCAAGTACATTTTTTTATAAAATCTACATAAATCTACAAGTTTACATAAATATTATATAGGATATTATATAAAGATTTTATATAATAATTATTATCTATAATTTAATATAATATTTATATTAAATTTTATTTATAATTATATAAATATAAATATTATATAAAAAGTTTATATGATTTTTATATATTTATAAAAGTTATGTATTATAATTATATAACTTTTACATATTAATAAATTATAAATAAAATACTTATATAAATTTTATATAATTATAAATTTTATATAAATAATTTATATAAATGTCTTATAACATAATAACTATATATAATTTGATATAAAACTTATATAATATTTTATTTATAATTATATAAATATAATTCTATATAATATTTCTACATATTTTTATATATAAATAAAATTATTATATAATCATAAATTCTACGTATTGTCATACGTATTACATAAAAGTCATTTGCTAAAAATCCCTATTCATAGGGTAAACCTGAAACTTTTGATAGCATTGCACGTATAAAACTTGAAAATAAGCAGTGCAAAGTGGTGAGTATTAATATAAGTATTGTGAGGCGATTGTGCTAATGCTATGTACCATATATATGTGCTACACTCTCCGCCAAATTTAAAATATCGACATGCTAAATACGCTTATACGTATTCTCGACATACTGTACACCAAGCTTGCCAAATATGCAATGCATTGACGGTCACTTCTTTTTTCCTCCTTTGACAATCAATTGCTGATCGAAATAAAAAAAATTAACATGTTCAATGGCTGTTCAATATGCCATTTAACTCACTATTTATTGTTATCATATGATTTATGAACATGAATATTGGGTCGAATGATATATTGAATAGCCTTCGAGCCATTTAACATGTTAATTTTTTTAATTTTAGCCAGTGAATAAATCCTTCATGATAGCTTGGTTGTATGTAATTTTTTAGATTTGGAACCTCATTAGCTTATTAATTTATATTTAACGTCGTTGCAGATCTTACATGGCGCTGAATGTGGTGGATTCATTTCTTTTTTGACCACTTAACTTATCTTTTAATGGGTCTAGTTAATTGATATAACGTTTATAAAGCATAGATGACATAGTTTATTTTTTCTGATAAGTGTTGGCCGATGACCTCAGTCATATCATTTTTTATATGATCTTGGTTATGTAATAATATGGCTTCTTGGTCTTAGTTATATCGGTTGTATTGATTGTTAATGGAAAATTTTTTACGTACTATGATTCTTACTATATTAAAAAAGGTCATAGGTCATTTCAACTTCGTTGTGACCAACTGACCTATGACAGGTCATAAAGGTCATATAGATCATTTAAGGTCATCGGCCAACATTGTCACTGGTTGCTTCAGAAGTCATATGGTCAATTAGCGGTGTATTAACAATCCAGCTGAAGAATTAAATATTTTATATAAGCGAGATAGTAGATTAAATATATAAATATTTTTTTTACAATTCTTATTGTTGAATAGCAGATAACAATAAAGAAATGTTTATACATTTACAGGAAAATATTAACATAATATGAGTTTGTTGTATCAAACTGTGGCACAATATGAACAAGATTATTAATTGATTCGACTGGAATCAAATTGTAAATATTTGTTAACTGTAAATAAGAGCATTCGTATTTGTAAAATTTTGAAGGGATATTCGGAAATTTAAAGTCGTACCAACGAAAAAGTGCAAGATCGAATGTCATAATATTATTTAATACAATACGAACTAATAATAAAACCTAAAATTAAAACCAAAATTTAGTCATGAAATCATATAAAAATAATTCATTTAAAATTTACAGTACCTTTGCAAAGCAATATCCGTTAAATGTCTCAAATTCTTTTTGTTCAGAATCCATATAAACAGCAATGTTGCTAAACATTGGCATGTTGTAATAATTATTTGTAGCCCTTATTTGTTCTTTGTTTGTCAATGTGAAAGATTCATATAAGATAAAAATTATTTCTGATTTCTTTATGTCTTCTTCAAATACGGACATGAGATCAAAATAGTCGTTCATTGCAGGAACAAGATGACACAGGCCATCAAGAATTTCAAATGTACATTCTTCATCATGCTTATATATATCGATGAGCGACTTCAGAAGATGTTGCGGTATAGTGAAATATTTTTTTCCGAATTTTCCTATATCTTCCTTAGGTTTGGATCGCCCATTTTGTAATAAAATATGCCGATAAATATTTTTGAGTGTGAGAGTTTGTGTTACCTACGAAATATTTCATTACTGTATTAATAAAATTAATTGATGATACAAAAAGTCAAATAAAAAAACCTTTTGCAAAATCTGTATATCGATATTGCGTTTGTTAGACATTCTATATGGAACTTTAATGTATTGTTTGTGGAGTGATTCATATGTTTCAGCGCTCAATCCGTTTAAATTTCCATATTCTTTAATTGTTTCAATGGTGTGATGTATCCAATGGTGAAATTTTGAAAACCGACATTCTCTCTTAGTAAATGGTCCAAGAATATCAATAAATTTTTTCGCCCATATTTGAATCGATTTCTATAAAATTATAGACCTACTTAGCTAATATAATTATACTAGAATAACATGACAGAAATTCGTTTTTATTGCTGATTGTTGGCCTAAAACTAAAAATTGATTTTTTTTTGTATTGACGCTATCGTTACACTTGCAATTCCTTGTGTACATGATAATTTTTATCATTATTCGTGACAATGCCTTGTTCACGTGAAGTTCTGGATTTTTTTCAGTTTTATATTTGTTATTTATATAAATGCTAACAACTTAACGTAATGGTTTAATATTAAGTACTCTAATCTAAATGGAACACTCGATCCCAACTATTATAATGAAAAATATGTTTCCAAATTATAATCTTGTAAAATTTTAGAAAGATTAATTATGAAAAAATCTTTGTCTATTTAGTTTTTTATTGTAAAGAATATAAATTCATGTAACGTTGTTGTTTTAATAGAATTGAATAACCAATAAAAGTGAATTTCTGTCATGCTTTATAGAATTAATATCAATAATATAAATAAAATTACCAACCTCAAATTGAAGAAGATCGGATTGCGTAAACTTATATTGTCTTGATTGATGATACATTTTATTCCAATTGATAAACATTCGTATAAGTGACTCATTTTTTTTTTCTTCAATAAGACCTTCAAGCACAAAGGGCATAATTTTCATCATATGTTTGTACTCGGAAGCCATGAATAGAGCAAGATCTGCAAGCCCAGAACTGAATACTTTTAATCCTGGATAACATGGTATCAATCCGAATCTTAGATCCATTTTATTAATGAGAGTAATTCCACCATGAACTTTTAGAAGATCTCGTGTATATTTAATCATATACAGAAAGAGTCCAAGATCTAAATGGTGCATTCGCTCAGGAACCATTGCTGTATAAACATTAAAGCCTCTATAATACCCAAACATTAATTGTATATTAAAATAGATTTTATGAGATCAGAATTTAAAATTATTGTAACAGCTTATACTGAAACTTTACTCTTATAATTTTTTTTACAATTAGGTAAGGTTTTAGAAAATGTTAATAAAAGAATGCATATAGATTTTAGAGACTTCAAATTTCAGCATAAGCCGATTTTAGTATGAGCCACCATAATTATAATTAGAAACTACTTACAGGTGGTTCCAGAAACTATTTGTTTCTTTGTGTATTGAATAATTTTGTCCTTGTCCAACTGCAATGACTTGTCGCATTTGGTCTTCCATACGAGTAATTTTGTGACTTGCAGGTATTTTGATTGCATTGAGTTCATCTTTTTTAACAAGACAGGTATGACATGGATGTGCGCAGCTTGTTCCGTTATAAGTTAAACATGATTTGCAGTTTTCGGGCCAGTCTCCGATAATACTGGCTAGTATCATATTACATTTTAAATTATATGAATTAACTTTTAGCGATATTCCAGAACGATACTGTAAACGTAGCGGCTCAATGAGTATATTAATGCATTTGTGAAAGGTTGACCGGATCAATTGTCTAAATTCTGGTGTTTTGCGTTCCTCCATAGTACCTTCAAATGTTGGTATAATACCAACGAGTGCCTTGGCTTTAGCCTTGTTTCGAAGATTTGTTGGAATATTGCCTAAGCTAATAAATATTGGATGGCGCGAATTTTTTCCTAAACGATCAAGTGTGGTCGCATCTGAGTATAAGATTATAGCTAAAACCTTATGACCAGTTGGAATAAGTTGTTGCACATGGCACCACCAATTACAATTGTAAAATTCAGAGTATATTCTTTCTCGACATCCCTAAAAATTAGAAAAGTAATGTTCAAAGTAGAATTGATAAAATCAGGACAAATCTATCTTTTGCTAATATTAAATATACTAATATTCTTCCAAACATGCTACAAGAATCTAACCACTATATAACAACTCTAGAAATAACAATTATTATTAACAAAGCCAAACTATTTAAACAACAGAAAAGAAAATATTTTCTTTAGAAGAATTGCTCAAAGAAAACTATCCATAATTATGCTTTACAAACCTTATACAATCTTCAATATATCTCTTCCAAAATCCAATTAATTACAAACTAAAACCAACTTAATCTCATAGGAAATCAAATATACAAAGCTCTAATTAAAGCAGCTAACAAACACATTCTTTTCAAAAAAATCAAACCAATTAAAGAAATTCAAAACTCCCCATTACCCAAACAATTACCACTTTTTTACAGATATAAACAAATCAAATTTCTTAAAAACCACTTCCATTTATCTAATTTCTCTAATTTACTCAACTAATATCTAATTCAATACTCTGAAAACTCATTTCAAACCAAGTACCCAACTTATATGCAAATCAAAAATGAATTTCAACTCGTTAAATCCTCTTTTAATTATAAATATCAACAAAACCTATACAATGAAATTAAACAAAAAATAGAAAACCAGAATAAAGCCTTCACAAAAACAACTAGATGATTCTACAAAAACATCCTTGAAAAACATAACAATATTAATATTAACTGCTTCTTACTTAATAATACACTATTAACAGAATACAATAAAATCTTAAATCAAATACATGACTATTTCTCTAAATACTTTTTAGAAAAATCTCTACACCTAATCCTTTACACTACCAACCACAACCAGAACTCTAATTTAATTATAATAAACTATTTGAAACAATTACAGATTAGGAATAGTTTGGATTAATCTCCAATCTTCCAAACCAAAAAATAGAAGACCTTCAGAAATTTGCTATAAATATATTAAATATACTAGCTCTTTAGCACAAAACATCCTCAAATCTTTTATAAACAAATATCTTCAACTACAAAAAATTTTAACAGAATAGAAATCTTTAAACATCTTTCTTATTCCAAAAAAATCTGCTGAGATTTTACACACAATCAAGTTTGACTCATATCTATTATTAAACCTCTCAATAAGATCTTTACTAAAGTTTTTTGTAGTTGAAGTTATTTGTTTATTAAAGATTTGTGGGTGTTTTGTGCTAAAG